TTTAAAAAAAAAAAAAAAGATTTACACCCAGAGGTCCTGCTTTCATGGGAAGAGGGGTGTGTAAGCCTAATGGAGAAGACAGGTTGTCTTGTTCACTTACGTTCTCCAACATTTTCTCATGAAGATTCCCAAACGTGTTGAGTGGGAACAGCTTCGCAGTGAACACATATCTACCAGCCAGATCCTAAAGTTAAGAGGTTGCTTTCGTGTGATGTCTCCATTTGGTTTTCCTAGGCCTCGGCTCTGCTCGTGACACCACACTTGGCAGTAACTGTGGACACAGCCTGGCGGCGAGAACTCGCAAGAAAGGAGACGGGTCAGAGCAGGTGGGAGTCGTGTGCAGGAAGGCTCACCTCTGTTGCTGCCACGTTTGGTCTCATCCCGTGTTCTTCGAGGCAGACACCGAAATGGCCTGGAAACGCGGTGCTTTGTGTGTGTGTCTGCGAGCTTCTCCAGAGTTCTCTGCCATCAAGGGGGCCTCCTGAACCCTGCCCGCCTGACCCGTGTGAGGGGCGGCTTCGTCTGTCCTGGGCCTGGACACGAGGATGCTTGGGTGGGATTTGGTAGAACAGGGTGAGCAGCCACCTTACGACCATGGGTCCTCGCCCTTCTTCCTGAGAAGCGGGATTCTGCCAAGTGAGAAGCTGCTCAGATGCCTGGTGTGTTTCCGGGCTGGTTCCCATGCAGCTTCCTAAGCACATTCATCATTCATCTGGTCACCAGTTTCACCATGATTTCCTTATTTTTCTTTAAGTCGATCCACTTCTAAAAAACACAGTTGCCCCCACAAAATTAGTCACTGCCATAAATTTAAAGAAAAAAATTACATATGTGGAAAACTGTTATCTTTTGCCCAAAGTTAGAAAGTAACCATAAAAATTTACACAATGAAAATAAGACAATAAAAAGCCATGAAATAATACAATGGAAGTTAAAACATACCACCTAACGTCCTCTTCGAGGGACAAAATACCTCACTAGAAAATTCTGTTAACGGGACGTTACTCTGTATGTTCTAGGCTGCTTGGTAGAACCTCTCTGCCAATTTTGGAGTGACTTGGGAAATTTCTTTTTTTTCTCATTCAACCAAAATGTGAGTTTTCCTTTGAAGGAGGGGCTCTGTGAGAAATGACCAAACCCATTAGGAGCACGGAAGTCGGCATCTTCCAGATTAAATCGTGATCTCATCGTAGGTTGTGAAATGACTATAGTTGTTGAGACTAGCATGTTTTTAATGGAGCTGCAAGACTACATTAAAATATATTTTATACGTTCACTAGCTCACACACAGTGATGATAAGTATTGTTTTGCTCAACGTTGCTACCGTTACGTGTGTGTGTATGTGTCTACGTGTATATGTGTTACAGATGTTAATCGTGTCCTGGACTGGGATTTTTCTCCCTGTTACGCCTTACGTGGTTGAGGACCCATAGTGCTGCCGTGAGTACCAGTCACGACCATTTCCTTGCACTTTCCCCCAAATGAGAGAAGGACTGTCTATTGACTATAAGAGGATGTTTGAAATACCCGTATGACACTGTACAGAGTTAAGAACATGGACTGCCTGCCTCCAGATCCCTGCTGTGGGACCTTGAGCATGTGATTTCTACTTCTCTGAGCCCCGGGGACCTCATCTGTCCAATGGGAGACATGGAAAGCAGCATTTGCAAAAGATTGGTGGGAGTATTCAGAGTTAAAGCCCGCAGGGTGCTGCTGTGGCTGGCCCATAATGAGTGCTCAAATTCTAGCTGCTACTGCTCTAACTTCCAGGTGGGATGACATCCGTGGGAAGTTCCTCTCCCACGGGGCCAAAATGTCCACAGACCCGGCTGTCCTGGGACCTCCATTGTCTGGAGGCGGCTTCTCGCAGCCCCGGGCTGTGTTTCCAGGCCGCCAGGAGGTGGCGCCCACGACCCCAGTGCCAGGCTCAGGGGTGTATGTTGTGTATTCTATTCCTTGGACTTGTGCTTGTTCAAAGAAATGAGTGCTGGCTCTCCACGTGGTGTTGTTACTAAGCTTGTAAGATAGTTGAGAAGTGGGGTTGAGGGATTATTTATCCTGTTAGAAAAATATCCTGTAAAATTACACACTTTTACCTTTACAAGGATTGATGGCCTCCTTAGAATACTAAAGTCGAGAATTTTTTAGAGGTCAGATTCCTGACTTTTCTACTTAAAATACAATGCCCCCCTCCCCGGTTTCCTTATGGGACACTGAAGTTTTGTTGCCTGTGGTGTGGGCGACTCTGTCTCCACTCACCCTTCGGCATTATCTCTGCCTTGCTTTGGGAAAGGAAAGAGAAGGAAATGCAAACCTCCATCCCAGATGGGTGCTAGGGGCCAACAGGGCCATTTTGAGACTAATTTCAGTAACTTTGAACGCTCTAGACGCACATCACATGTGCTGGTCGGTGGGAAATCCCTCCAGGCTGCAGGTGGAGGAGGCGGTTTCAACACGAGCATCCTATTCCCGTGAGGGGTTGGGCTGACGCCCAGAGACTGTCTACGTTTCACAGCTCAGCGGCGGGATTTCCTGCGAAGTGAGG